CTTGATAAGAAATGAAAGAGGCCAATAAAATAGCAATCCCTCTGTAAAAGTTATGGTTGTAAGAGAAATCTTTTCTTATCAGAGAACCTCAAGATTGCAGATTCCAATTCCTGAAAATCTTCCACCACACACAATTATCGCACGCCTCCAAGTCACGGATGAAGACAGATTAGGCAGCGTGGACGAGTTCTCCGTCGAGAAGTCGGGCATTGGCAGCGAGATGTATTCTGCTTCAATCGTACGAATTTACTTCTTTTAATCGTGTTTTTCTTAACTCATAGGTAATTTCAAGATAAACGGTTCATTGGTAGTAGCAGTGGCTGACAATGGAACCCTCGATCGTGAAGTAAGGGAGAGACATATGGTGCACATGATTGTCCGGGATGGAGCGGGAAATCAAGATTCGGCCGCGGTAAGCTTCCTTTCTTGGTGGTACTTCAATTATTCAGGTAACGTTGATGGCAGGGCGAAAGAAGTCTGCGACTGCTTGCAGCTTTACATCGTACTTTTGGACATCAATGACAACGCCCCTCGTTTCACCCAAGACCAATACGCAATACAAGTAATCGACAACTGGCCTACAGGCATTGTGGTTGATCGCTTGAAGGCCACGGACATCGACGCAGGTGAAAACGGTCGCGTCACCTACTCGCTGGCTTCTGGAAGTACAAAATGTAAGTTATCGGGAAAATTCACGTGTAGGACTTGGGACCTTGTAGCGGTTTGAAGCGTGCGACTTTTTCGCTGAGGCTAGCATCATCAATCTTAGCAACGAATCCGTCAAAGATACATTTGAACGCTCATATATTACAGTCCTGTCAGTTGTTGAGAAGAGGATGACGGGGACAAATACATGAGGATAATCAAATTGCAAAACTACAATCTTTGGCACTATCTTTATAGACAGCCCTTGTCATTTCCCTCTACAGGAACCGCACCAGCTTTCATCATACCTATAGCTATATGCGGCAGATTATACATATATGGTAACGATACCGAAAGCTACGATCCACTAATAACATAGCAGCTACAAAGATTCTCGCACTTATGAAGAAGAAGAGTCAAACCACGGTCGACCGTCTCAGAACCTTGAGATAGTCCTGATGCTAAGCCAAAATGAACATATTCCAGATCTCTCCATTGACCCTAAAACAGGGGAGCTGAAGATTTCCGGAGAGCTGGCCGGAGCCGCCAGAGAACAACCATACGAAGTCGTTGTTATTGCGGAGGATTCAGGTTAGCTTCATATCATTAGAGTAGAATATCTTTTTTTTTTTAGTGATGTGCGCAAGTTTCTTATAAATGAAATAACTATTAGGGTAACTATATTTGAGCACTTGAATCTAACAAAAATGATTAAACTAATTGGTTCACTTAACGATTATGAAAAAATGTTCGTGGAGGAAGATATTTTTCTTTAAGGTACTCCCAGTTTGAGTTCATCAGTTCGAATAAAGCTGAAAATTAGTGAACCGTTGATGGATGAAGATGGCGAAAAAGGACAAGTGGTTTTCGTCGATCCACCTGTGGATTTCGTCCTGAATCTCAAAGAGGTTTGCGAATACCCTAATTGAATACTCATTCCTACATTATAACAACATCGATCCATAACTGGTTCGCAAACTTTTGCCTGGGCTCAAATCTATTCCTGCTCAAAGTAAAGTCAATAGTGAAAAAGCTAAACGGCTGCAACGCAGGGTTCTTAACAGGCGCTTTTTTTCTCAGATGATTTGGCTCTATCAAAGTATACTGTCTTGCTGTTGCTCTGAAAGGTCCTAAATACAAAACCAATTCTGAACTATATTTTGTATCTCTAAGCAGCTTAAGTGTGTTCCGTCGGAACCATTTTGTATAGCCGATCGTGTGAGTAATTCGATTTTTTTTGAGGACCACAGCTAAGACCAGAGCTTCCATTTCCTAACCAAACTATGTGGCCTTCACTAGGTGCCTAATTAGCCCTGTGTTTTGCTCATGCCCAATATCCTATCGTTTTCATCTGTATGTGGTCTAAAGGAAGAAGACAGAAGCCAGCACATCTGTCCCTCTGGCCGGAAGTGGCACTACCTCTCTGTCGAGCAGTTGGCAATGTAGTAGCGCATATACCGCTGTGAACGATATTCCATCATTCATAAGGAAAGGGACGTAGAGACGCAATACCTTTGACAGGAGGAAGGGGACAAGGCTTGTATTGTCTAACCTGGCGTTTGTCTCGGTCGCTTCCTGATATCCTTCTCAAAGCAGTACTATCGGCGGGTTCATGCATTACAATCGCATGCCTACAATCTTGGTGAGATTTTGGGCAGTTCATTCGGGTTCTGTAGTTTTGAATGCAAACGAGAAGAATCAATGGAAGCAATTACAGCACATATACACATATGTATACATAAAATGACATCTGGTGGCCAGCCGATAATGAGTTAGATCGAAAAGTCTTGATAGCGTTTTTGAAAAGTGCAGAATTTTCGATTTTTAACCTATATCCATGATCTATCATGTGATAGTTGTGGAAAATTTTGGAAGATCCCTCGCAAAAAGTTTATAAGAGCGTGTGCGCCCACCTGTGTTCAGAAGCGATGTCAACCTCACAAGATTATATTCAAACCATCACTTTCTATGAGTGACGCCGTGGCTCTGGAGCGGCAGCAACAGTCTACAACATCAACGGCGCATTTTAGGAGGACACCACTTCCATCGCCACGGTCCATCGCTGGTTCATTCGCTTCAAAGAAGAAGGCACGGTCTTCGAAAACAAGCCTCGTTCGGGACGCCGTCGTTCGCCGTAGACGAAACCGCCATCCTCGACACCATCAAAGAGGATCCGGGAGTTAACACCCACAGTCTACGAGGAGACTAGGATGTGCCCGATCAACTCTCTTCGGTCGCCCGATTTCAGAAAAGTGCTGACTCGATAGATACTTCATGTTTTGGTCGATAGCATACGGTACACCCGGATATGCATTTGTCAGTTTCTTCTTCACCGCACGCAAGGGGTTTCTGGAGGACTTACTGAAGATGAAAGCTGAATCTATTATGATGCTGACAAGCACTGTCTGACTTCCGCCAGGAGGACAGCCGCCGACGCGAGCCAAATCCGGGCTCCATCCCAAGAAGTTTCCCCTTTGCTGCTTCTAGGATTCAAAAGAAATGCTGTGCTTCGAACTGCTAAAGGAAGGCCACACCATCAATGCTTCCTATTATGCTGGTCAGCCGCAAAAACTTGCGGAAGCCCTTAGAGAAAGACGGCCTAGACGAACTTTCGTGCACCTCCGCCATGACAACTCTAGGCCTCACATAGGTAAAGAGACTAGTGCAAATTTGGAGGTGCTAGGCTGGAACACGGTTCCACTTTCACCCTATGCCACATGTTCCGACCCCTTCAAAGTTTTCCTAGCAAAAAACAACTCAACTGTTCGTCAACTGTGACCACCTTGAACA